TTTTTTCCCCCGCCACTGACGGCTTCTTTGACCCCTCCATCCTACTGGAAGTGGGAATCTCTCAGTTCCAATCCTGGCTCTGCTACTTGCTGGCTCTGTGACCTTCAGAAATGTTTAGTACTCAGTACCTCCCCGTATTCTTATCTAGAAAAAGGGCATAATAGTGGTTCTCACCTGATAAGGCTGTGGATGAGTTCATTTACACAGATCAGTTAGAACAGTGCTGGATAAATAATAAGTATTATGGTTTTTGTTTATTTTTATTATTTGAGGCTGAAAACATTCTGCTTCTCCTTTAAGATACCAATGTCTCTTACTCCAGGATGCCTTCACAAACCCAGGCAGAGCTCTTGCTCTTCCTCTGTACTCACACCAGTCTTCACAAATACCTGTCACATCCAGGCTGATTGTAACCAACTGACTGTCCAGTCTCTCTCCTGCCCTTGGCTGTGAATCCCATCGGAGCGGGGCTGGCCTGTGATTCTAGTTTGCGTCAGCCATCCTGAGCATGTTGAAGAATCGAGTGATTGCTGAGTGTGTATGTGGGTCTGTGTATGTAACGGTGTATATGACTGTGCTGAAGACGTGTAGATGTGTGTCCGCACATAAAGGCCTGTGGTCTCATGCACTTCCCTTCAAGTGAGTGAATGAGCATCTACTTGTACCAGGTACTGATACAAACATCCTTTCCTCATGGAAGATGTCACCTTCTTTTTATAAAAAAGAAATGTTTTATTGATTGATTTGAGAGGAAGAGAGAGAGAGAGAGAGAGAGAGAAACATTGATTTGTTGTTCCATTTATTTATGCATTCATTGGTTGATTCCTGTATGTGCCCTGACGGGGGATCAATCCCACAACCTTGGCATATTGGGACGACACACTAACCAACTGAGCCTGTTTCTCTACCTCCCTCAGTTGAAAGTGAGCCTCTATTCATTATGACAGTTGTGTCATTTAGCAATAACCTGACAGTGCTGAGAAATGATTATTCCTGCCCTATATGTCAGACTTAATTTTCCCATGAAAGTTTTTAGTAATACAATTGAAATTATTTAAAAAGTTCAGTAATATTTCAGATTTATTCTTGCATCACTGAAATTCTTTCCAGGCTGGTAATATTTAGGTTTGGCCAAAATACATTTTCACACTTGGTTATTGGTTTGCATTCAAAATGTGTATGAAGAGAATCTGAACCCACTGGATGCACCTGTGGGCCCACCCCCTCAGGAAGTGGCAGACTCCAGAGGGCTCACACATGCAACACCTTCCCCCAGCAGCAGGCCAATGGGAGCCGTGTCAATGTCCTCTACTCCACTCCGGCCTGTTACCTCTGGGAGCTGAACAAGGCCAACCTCACCTGGTATTTGGGGGACCTGGGGAGCTTGAGGGGGGGGTGTGCATGCCCTGCGGGTAGTGACTCTCCCGCAATGCCTCTGCCGCTGCAGGTCGGTGAAGCAGGATGACTTCTTCCCCTATGCTGACGGCCCCCACATGTTCTGGACTGGCTACTTCACCAGCCGGCCGGCCCTCAAACGCTATGAGCGTCTCAGCTATAACTTCCTGCAGGTGGGTGGGTGCTAGACGCAAGGGGGCAGCTCAGGGGTCCCAGCCGACCCCGTGCCTCAACATACTCCCTGCCTCCTAGGTGTGCAACCAGCTGGAGGCACTGGCAGGTCCAGCGGCCAACATGGGACCCTATGGCTCCGGAGACAGTGCACCCCTCAGTAGGTGTATGGTTGGTGAGGGGGTGGGGCGGGGCCCAAGCTGGACACCAGACCCTGGCCTCATCCTGGAGTCCCTTCTGAAAGCCCCTAAGAACCCTGGCGCCTTGCACGTGACCATTCGCGTCTCTCTGAGATCAGGGCTCAGAGTCCTGCACCGACCCCACCCAGCTCACCACTCGCCCACCTTCTGCCCGCAGATGAGGCCATGGCTGTGCTCCAGCACCACGATGCCGTCAGTGGGACCTCCAAGCAACATGTGGCCGATGACTACGCCCGCCAGCTGGCTGCAGGCTGGGAACCCTGTGAGGTGCATGGGCGGGGTCTGGGGCATAAGGGCGGAGGCAGGAAGGGCGTGGTCAAAGCAGGGGGGTGGAGTCTAGAAGGGCTTGTGGGGCGGGGCTGGCGGCAGGAGGGGCGTAGATAAGAACGGGGCAGGACCAGGCATCAGGGCGGAGCCTATAAGAGCTAGTGGGGCGGGGCCTGGGATGAGGGGTCTTGAATGGGGCGAGGCCTGGAAGGGCTACTGGGTTGGGGGCGGGGTGGAGGGGGAGTGCAGAGACAGAAATGGGGCAGGGCCCAGAAGAGCTTGTAGGGCGGGGCCTGGGTGGGGCGAGGAAGCTCCCCGCGGGCTTGCAGAGTGGACCCCTGCCTTTATGTTCCTCCCAGGTTCTCCTGAGTAACGCGCTGGCGCGGCTCAGCGGCTCCAAGGAGGGG